AGTTAGCGAAAGTGTTAGCAGAACCTGGCCCCACTGTTATTAGGAAGAGAGGAGAAAATTAAGAGCTGAAGTGATAACAGTTTTCTAAGGCTTACTTAGAGAGATTAGCAGCAATGATCAGCTAAATCTAACATTTAGTGGGGAAATCTCCCAAACCTGCCACAGTTAGATGCTATTGCCCTAAAAGGAGAAAACAGGCCATAGGGCTTTGACAGTACTCTGTCGAACAACACTAAAGCAGGGCCTTTCCTGCAGAAGACAATCTCAAACTTGAAATATGGCAAAGTAAGCCTCCCAGGTTTCTCAGAAGATGGCTTAACAGAACCTACATCAAGAAGAATATTCCAGAAGATATTCCTATTCACATCTCTTTGGAAATGGTTCCCATATCTTTATTGCTTGTCTGAAAAAGCTGTTGCTAGTCCTTTCAAAAGTGCTCCATCCATACGAAAGAATTTTTGGCAAGGTAAGGCCATGTCAGACACCCATGACCAACAATAGAAACAGAAATAATTTTCTGAAAACTTTTGACGGAGCTTGTATGTTTTACAGGAGTGAATAGAGGTAGAGTATATACTTCCCATAGAAAACGAAAGGGGAAAGAACGGTTGGTCCAAATATAATGTACCCTTCCTCCAGGATGAACCATTGCTCTGGGCACGAGAGTCTGATCTTTCTCAAACTGTAATGCAACTCTGTGCTTGTCTTGAAGTCTCAACAGTAGGTATAGCCCTTTCCAGAGATTACATGTATTTGTCTTGTGCAGGTATGATATTTTTTCATAAGTCTGAGAACCCTCCAATGTTCAGAAGAATCCAGGCCTCCTCAGGCTGCTTTCTCTAACTGTATCTCACCTCATACCGGGAACTGTAATGGAAATGTCCGAACCTTAAAAAAGGACAAAAGTTCTCATCAGACTAGTGCCTTTCCATTCCCATTTCTGTTTAATATCTTTCTCAAAACTTGTGGTTTGAGCTCAGCTTGGAGGGCAACTGGGCACCACACAACCGCTCACTCTCCCCTTCCCCCTCAGGACCAGGATAGGAGAAAATAAAACAAAAAGCTCAGGGATCAAGATAGGGAAAAGAAGGGGTGAAACACCCATTAGGGTCATGGACAGAAGACAGACTCATTAGTGGAAGAAAACAAAGCATAAATTTAATACAGACACTAACTATGACAACACTGAACAGACAGAATAGGACAGTGAAAAGCATTACCACGTCTTGAAAACACTTACTCTTACCAACCCTCCCTCCCCTCCTTCCCGGGCTCAGCTTTGCTCCCAATCTCTCTACCTCCTCCCCTCAGCAGTGCAAGGACAGGGAACGGGGGGTGCATTCAGTGCTGTTGCTTCTTCCACTTCGGAATGGGGTGGGGGTGGAACTTCTGTCATTCACCCCTGCTCCAGCGTGATCCCCCTCTCACAGGAGATGATCCTCCACAAACTTTCTCTGACATGAATCCCTTCCACAGGCCACAGCATTTCCTGAGCTGCTCTGGTATGGATCCCCCCCACATGTTGCAGTCCTCCCAGCACAGTGGGGGCTGCTTCTTCCCTCAGATTCCTGGCCTTCTTCATGCAGAATCACCTGCTACAACGTGAGGTCTTCCACAGGCTGCAGGTTGGCATCTGCTCCACTGTAGACCTCCATGGGTGGCATGGCAGGGGTGGACCCTGCTGTCTCACCACGGGCTGGGTTTGTGTTTGTGGTGGGGGTTTTTGGTAATGGAGGAGGAGGCTACAGGATTGGCCCCCTGTGAGAAGCTTCTCGAAGCTCCCCCAGATCCAAGTCAACTCCACCTCTGCACAAAAAGTGAGCCAATCAGCTGCGCCTCTGCGATAATGTATTTAAGAAGGGGAACCTGAGAGGGTGTTGGGACTTGTGAGGAAGAATTGTGAGAAGGGCGAACACCAAGGTCAGTGGAAGGAAGAAAAAGGACGTGGGGGGAGATGCGCTAGAGCAGAGATCCCTGTATCTTGTAGTGAGATGGCAGGGCCACCCACCCTGCCACCCATGGAGGTCTGTGGTGAAGTAGAGGTCGACCTGAAGCCTGAGTAGAAAGCCACCCCAGGACAGGCGTCTGTGCTTAAAATAGGCTGGGACCTTGAGGGGAGAAGAAGCTCCTACTGCTGTGCTTCAGTGGTGGGAGGACTGCAATATGTAGGGGTGACCCACGCCAGATCAACATGGGAATGGCTGCAGCCTGTGGGGAGGACTCACACTGGAGAAGGTTGGTGGATAAGTGTCTGCAGTGAGAGGGGAGCCATGTGAAGCAGGGGAGGAATGTGCGGCGTTCATCCCCCATCCCGAGAAGGAAGGAGTAGCAAGCTGACTGTGACCCCCACTCCCTGCCCCCTGCACCTCTGGGTGAGGAGGTAAAGAGATCAGGAGCAGAGCTGAACTGGAAGAAGAGAGGGATGGGGAAGGTATTTTTTGGATGTGGTTGGGCTTCTCATTGTCTCCACCTTGTCTGTTAAGTGTTGCCTTTATTAGCATTTGAATTAAAGTGATGTTTTCTTTTTTTTTTTTCTTCCCCTAATGAGTCTTTCTTTTGCCTGTGACCATAACGAGTAAGCTACTCCTCTTGGTCCTTAGATGTATTCTTTAAGCCGTTCCTGATCCATAATCTTCCCGCCCCATCTCTTATGTGGGAGGGAGTGAGTGAGCGGCTGCATGGTGCTCAGTTGCCCTCTGGGCCTAAACCACAACTCCCCTTTTGCTACTACACCTCGGTTCTTTCTCCTTTGAATAAGAATCACAGTTTATGGTGCTTTCTAACTTCAAAGACTGGTATTCCTTTTGAGATTCATAAGAGAGAAGGCCCTTCCAGTCGGTGAAACAGAAAACGAAGAACTAGCTTTAAAGGACATTATTCCTTTTCCTACCTCACAGGGACTACCAAAACACGTGAGTTGCCTGAGCTTCTACTCTTGTCCAATACTGGGCTTTCCTACACTTTCCCATGCCCTAGCCCTAAGGCTATGTATTAAGCGCAGAATGCTTCAGGAAATGAAAAAGAAAAAGAAGTGCTGGTGCAAACAGGCAGCTCAGCACTGAAAAGAGACAAGAGGATCCTTTTGAATCAAGCCCTATTCCCAAGTGGAAGAGGCATGTCTTACACTGTAATTGTCTAGACAATTGTACGACTCCAGCTCTCCCAGTTGCTTTAAGTGTGCAAATGGGTACCATTCTTTCAGAACAGGGAATTAGAAAGGTTGACCAGCTTTGACAAGAACCATTTAGAGAAATATTTAGAGAAATACTTGTGTTGGAATGTACATCTGAATGTTGTTGAGTCCAACCTCCCACTTAAAGCAGAGGCAACATCAGTGTCAGATCTAGCTGTTTGTCCACTTGTGTTTTGAATATATTCAAGGACGGAGATTTCACAGTCTCTCCAGACACCCATTCCAAAGAATATCCAACTACTCTCACCTGTAAATCACTCTTTTTCGTTATAGAAAATTGGACTTTCTCTTGCTGCTGTTTGTGACTGTTTCCTCTCACCCTCACACTGCATACTTCACAGACAAGTCTGTTCTGTCTTCTCTACACACAGTGGAAGACAGTAGTAGATCCCCTTAACTTCTATTCTCCAGGCTGAAAAATTCCAGTTCCCTCAGATCCCCATAATCATCTCTGTGCCCCTCTGCTGAATTTACCCAGTTTGTCAATGTCTCTCTTGTAATAGAAAGCTGAAATCTGGACATGGAACTCCACATGCAGACTCGTGAGTGCTGAGTAGGGGGAATAATCACTGCCCTTGACCTGCTGGGTCCACTTCTCGCAGTATTGCCTAGTATGTAGATAGTTTTCATTACCATAAGGAAGCACTTCTGATTTGTGTTCAGTTTGTTGCCCACCAGGGTCTCAGAGCCTTTTCTGCAGACCTATCAGTCAGTCATTCTCTATGATACATGCAGTTAGTTTTTCCCAGGTATTTGGCTTTGCATTTGCTTCAGAAGATTCCTATCAATACATTATTTCAGCCTGTCAAGAACCCTTTGAATTACAGGCCTGCCTTCCAGTATATCTGACAACATGCTCAGTTTGCTGTCATTCACATTCTTGTTAAGGCTGCATTTCATCCCATTGTCCAAGTTAGTTAGTACTAAATGCTGTGAGTCTCAGCATTGATCCTTGAACAGCATCACTCACCACCAGTCACTACATTCTACAACAGCCTGGGCTGTTTTCCCAATACCTTGTTCTAACCCTATGTCTCTGAAAACATTCAGCTCAAGAGTAAAGCCCTCTATTTGAAAAAACCACAGAGATTAACTGAGTGATGCAATCAATATTTTAAAATACTAAATTAAAGTAGTAGGAAGGCAAGTAAGCGGTAAGAAGATAAAGAGCTAGATACCTACAGAAGTAAATTCTGGGCTGATATCAAATTAATGGTGGCTGATCTCTTAACTTGTAAGTAACATACATAAGATCTAAAATTAATTAGGGTTTTAGACATACTCCTGTCCTTTGAGATTCCTGTTGATTACAGGCCGCCACTCAATGTGACAGCCTGGTTTTCAAACCCATTCTCAATTTTCTAGTTGCCCATGTGTACTTTAAGAGATTTGAGGAAACTTCAAGTGTGAATAGGCCCATTCTGGACAGTAGAGCAATGGCATTGAGGCACCATGGATTTTTTAAAACATTTTTTGTTCACCTCAATAAATTAATTCTTATTCATCCTAATACGAGACAAAATCATTATTTTTCCTTGAACAAATTAAAATGTAACTAAAATTTCTTGACTGGAGTATTCCAATCATATTCACAAAATGGAAGATATCCAGTAAGGACACGTTACCCAAATGGTTAAATTTAGCCAAAATGAAAGGCAAGTACAATGGCATTTAAAATAATTACATGTGAGGTATAATCCTCTCTTGGCTGCACTACTATTTTTGCCAAGAAAAGGAAGAAAATGAAGAAAGTCTATATATTATTGCAGATTTTCCACAGCAATACACAGTCGCTTAAGCTAAGAAATGCATTTTCAAATTCCTCAGTTTTTATTGGTTATTTCATTACATCAGTAACTAATATTATCTCTTCATTTTCAGATGTTATTGACTGAATTTTGCGCTCCATCAGCTGAAAGGAAAATAAAAACTTCCATTAGCTTTATACATAAAAATAGTCTAGCTTTTACTTATTTATGCACAATTATGAGAGTATTTCAACTTTTGTTGCATATTTTATAGAAATATTTCCCTCTTTTGTTTCTTAGCTGATAAGTTTTCCTCAGCTGGATGTAACAGTGAAAATTCAGCAACTCTGTAATGCTGACACATAGTTGTTGACTCACCTGGAAATGGATAGGAAGAACATGTTCTTTTCTCCAATGTACCATGTAGATTACCACAAATCATCTCAAACAAATTAATACAAAAGGATTAACTTCGCTAAGGTGTGAAAGTAGATAAGTAAACATTGGTCTGAAGTTTAGCTAATTGAACAGGCCATGAAGAGTTACTGGTTGTGGTTTAGACCTGGTTGGCAGCCAACCACAATGCAGCACCTCTCTCTCCCTTCCCCTCCGGCAATGAGAAGGGACAGAGAGCCAGGCTTGGGGTTCAAGATAGGACTGGGATGGGGGAAAATCCCCCTTTTATGATCACGAGCAAAAGGCAGACTCGTTAGGGGAAGAAAAAAAAGAACATACATTTATTACAGACACTAACAACACATAACAGAGTAGGACAGTGAGAAGCATTGCCACATCTTGAGAACACCTTCCCCCCACCCCTCCCTTCTTCCCGGGCTCAGCTCTGCTCCCGATATCTCTACCTCCTCCCCCAGTGGCGCAGGGGCAGAGAATGGGGGGTGCAGTCAGCTCTGCCACTTCCCTTATCTTCGGTGAGGGGAGTGTCCGAAACTTGTTCCTCCTGCTCCATCGTGGTCCCCCTCTCACAGCAGACAGTCCTCCACAAACTTTCTATGACATGAATTCCTCCCATGGGCTGCAGCATTCCCCACACTGCTCCGTCATGGGTCACCAACTTTCTCCGACTGGATTCCCTCCCATGCGCTGCAGCCCTTCCCGAGCTGCTCCGGCGTGGGACTCCCCCGCATGCTGCAATCCTCCCAGCGCTGAATTACAGCAGTGGGGCTGCCTTTTCCCATGAGACCCTGGCCTTCTTCGGGCACAGAACCTTGATCATATGAGCAGGAGCAACAGGCCATAAATCAATGTCTGCTCCACCGTAGATCTCCATGGGTGGCAGGGGGGGCCGCCCTGCCGTCTCCCCACAGGATACAGGGGGGTCTCTGCTCCGGCACACCTTCCCCCTCCTTTCTTCCTCCGTTCCTCCACTGACCTTGGTGTTCACGCAGCTGCTGCAACTCCTCCTCACAAGTCCGACTGCACATCACCATGTCCCTTCTTAAATACGTTATCACAGAGGCGCAGCTGATTGGCTCAATTTCCCAAACAGAAGTGGAGCTGAACTGGAGCTGGGGGAGCTTTGAGAAGCTTCTCACAGGGGGCCGCCCCGATAGCCCCCTCCCCTGCCACCAAAAAACTCCACCACTCACTCAACCGAGAACAGCATAACATGATAAACTGCTGGACAAGGAAAGACCACCGGTGAGCTTTTGGTCAGTATGATGGTCTGGTCAAATGCTCTGTGTGACCATTGCAGTCTGTCCTGTTACCTTACAAAATCCTATTTTGAAATGTATCACCTTGCTTTCTATCTTGTGTGTTTAACTTGCTAGAGAACTTTAATGAGTCTGGGCCTAGTGAGTGAGTAGAAAAGAACTGCATCTGGAGAAACCCAAGATGAGAGTTGGTGGCCTGGTGGGGGGATCCAGGGTCTGGGCACAGAAATCAGATGTGAGGAGCTTGCAAATTTATGTGTGTCGTGAATGAAGAGAGTGAGGGTGTCTGAACGTCTCACTGGCAAACTTCAGCCCTGCTTGGCTGGAGAGGAGCAGGAGGACTGGGATGTCTGTGACCCTATTTCTGTGACTGCTGGTGGTGTTGACATGGTGCTGGTAAAGGCACCTGTGATGCTGTTTGTGGCTGGCTACGTTGATGTGTGTCATTCTACTTGCGTGTGCCTCATGTTGGGAAAACACACAGCCCTTGCTGCTCTCTGGACCTACCGGACAGGTAGTCAGGGAGCATCAGCCCCTGCACCTCTGAGACTGGAACAGGAAAACCCCCCTGGTTCTGGAAGAGCACTGCATTTGGCTTCCCTTAACAAACTTGACTGCTGATTTTCTCTTTTTGTGCTGTGTTTCTGTGAGTGATGGGGTTTTTTGGTAGCAGGGGAGGAGGCTACATCAGTGGCCCCTGTGAGATGCTTCTCAGAGCTTCCCCTGCTCCAAGTCAGACCTGTCTCTTAACCAAGGCCAAGCCAATCAGCTGCACCTCTGTGATAACGTATTTGAGAAGGGGAACCTGGGATGAGGAGTTGGACTTTTGAGGAGGAGTAGTTGAGAGGAGGACACCTATGCAAACACATAGGTCAGTGGAGAAAAGGAGGAGGAAGAGAGGGGAGGGGGTGTGTGTGCCGGAGCACAGTCTCCCCTGCAACCCACGGTGAGACGGCAGAGGCTGTCCCCCCCGCCACCCATGGAGATCTATGGTGGAGCATATGCCCACCTGCAGCCTGTAGAGCATCCCATAATTGGAGGAGATGGCTGCCTCCGAAGGAATCTGGGACTCTGTGGGAAGAAGCAGGCCCTGTTGTTGTAGTTCGGTGCTGGGAGGACTGCAACATGTGAGAGTGACCCATGCTGGAACAACTTGGGAAAACACTGTGGCCCGTGGGAGGGACTCATGTCAGAGAAAGTTTGTGGAGAACTGTCTCCTGTGAGAGGGAGACCACGATGGAGCAGGGGGAGAATGTGAAGAGTTCCCCCTTGACCCGAGGTGGAAGAAGTGGCAGCAGTGACTGCACCCCCCATTCCCTGCCCCTGCACTGTTGTGCTGGGGAAAGGAGGTAGACAGATTGAGAGTAAACCTGAGCCCAGGAAGAAGGTGGTAGTGGGAGAAGGTGTTTTCAAGATGTGGTAATGCTTCTCACTGTTCTATTATATCTATAAAGTGTTGTTGTTAGTGTCTGTACTAAATGTATCTTCTTTTTTTTCTTCCCCTAATGAGTCTGTCTTTTGCCCATGACCAAATGGGAGAGTCATCCCTCCTTGTCCCTATCCTGATCCCTAAGCCTTTTGTTTTATTTTCTCCTTCCCCCTGAGGGGAAAGGAGGAGGTAAGCAGCTGTGTGGTGCTCAGTTTCCCTCTGAGCTCAAGCCACGACACTTGTAATTCCTCAAAATATGGCAAAGAGTTCTTTGTGTTAAGTTCCTTATAATTTAAAAAATACCTGCAGTAGAGTCTTGTATGTACTTCACACATTTAATATAAAATAGAAAGAGAACATACCTCTGGATTTGTATCAGATAGGCCATGAAATGCATTTTTTGGCTCTGGGATTTGTGAAAATGCAGCTTTCCAACAGCCAGTCCTGGAGATCAAAAGGGATGGTATAGAAAAGAAAAATTAAGTAATTGTCATGTGTCAAAACCATTACACCCTTGGAACAGCTTTTAGCTTGCTCTTCCAGCATAAAAGAGAAATGAAAAATATACACAAACTCAGCACAGAATTAACATGTATCAGGAAAAAACTAAGAATTTGGATGGTGATAGTTTCATTTTTGGTAAAAGATTCACTAGAGTTATTTTCTTCTTTAAAAGGAAAAGGAATTTTTCCTGCTCTTTAAGTCACTACAACCAGTGAAGAATGGATGTAAAAATTTTAACTAGTTGGAAGAACAGTATCTTCTCTGAATTATTGTATATTTCTATACAAAGTGCATGGTACAGCAGAATATTCATTTTTTTTTCTGTTTCATTTACATGGTTTATTTCAAGAAACAAGATGTTTAGCTTATGTTCTTTCAGACACATTCAGTTTGCTAGGACAAGTCTAGTGAATGTTGCAAAATCTCTACGGTTAAGTACAGTCAACCTGTATGTTTGCAATAAAGTCAACTGTTCAAAAAATCAGAAAAACTAGTGCATAGATAGTCTACGTTGCAAATATTCATAGCAGCTGTACTGCTAATATAAGTAATTGCATATAATTGCTCTCCTTGCCCTGTTGACAGAAGAGGCCCTGGAAAAACTTGTGTGGATCATGCAGGGAGGGACTCCGGGCATCACCATTATAGTACTTGCCACAGGATCACTCATTTGGATTGATTTCTACTACAGTGTGAGTGAAAAAGTTTTATGTATACTACAGAGACACCTCTACTTTACTTATTTAAGAACTGCAGATGTTTCACACACCCACACAAAATGAAATAAATGCATAAATTAAGTTTACCTTTGGCAGAACAAAATTGTGGCGACTGCCACTAAGAGCGTCACAACTGCTACCACAAGTAAAATCCATACTGAGTAAGAAATAATTTCTTCACTTCCTGAAAGAGAAACGCTCATAAAATATTGTTGTTAATAAAGAGGAATAGGTGCATAACTGTTTCAGATGTCTACCCTGGTGACTAACTGGTGAATGTCAGCCTCAAAAGTTTCACTTGGTATCAAGATCAATTCTTTAATTTAAGCACCTTAGCAGTAATGTCTGCTAGGAGGGATCAGCATTGAGACTGTTTGTCCATCCCCTGCAGTAAGCAGGCATGCGCTTCAGTTGCAAATGTGTAAGTTTTTACATATATTTCCAATGTTAGAGTGTTAAGAGATTTATTATTCCCCTTCTTTTCTTCAGCGTGGAGTGAAACAAAATGTTTGCCAATCCTTTACTCATCTGTGTGTCTGTAGGCTCACAGCAATGTGTGAGGTAGACATGACGTCTCTGGGGGAAGAGTAGCCCAAGGCATGAATTTGTTCTTACCAAACTCAACAGGTGCACTCCACGCCCCCCAAGCTGGGCTCACAAGGCAGGCACTGCCAGCTGCTCTCATTTTCAAGAGGTATTTCTTTCTTGTATTGGATCTTTGAAATGTGTGACTATTTCCCCCTTCCTAAAAGCAAAGCAAAACCGAGTTGTTTTCCTCTGGTGCGTATCTAGGTGTGGATAATATGCACATGCCATTTGCCAGTGAAACTTTTACAAGGCTATCACATCATTACTTGTTAAAGTAGATTGCTGTTCCAGAGCAAAAAATAAACATATTCATGCTTATTATGTACATATTTATGTATCTCAAAAATAGCCCATTATTCAGTAAACTTTTTAAGTTTAGAAGCTTTTTGTCTTTTACACTATATCCTGTAATTTCTTATGATATAGTCTGATTTATTGATAATTTCTCTTGACACACTGATGGAGGCAGAAAAATATCTTGACCTGTCTCATTTCAATACTGCTAGAATTGAGTGATTTGAGAAATAGAGTGTCTGCATGCACCCCATCTTCCTCAGTCTTTGCATTATGACTTTTCAGGAAAAGCGTAACTTTATAGCCAAACCTGTAAAATAAGTGGAAGACTGCAATACTTAGTGTTACTCGAATTTACTGGAACACACTTGCTCTTAGAGACTCTCAGGATAGAAGTGGGATGTGCAAGCTGCACTGATTAGGAGGAGGTGCAGCGTGCCTGGAGGACAGCCTACATCCCAAAGGGCTTTTGTGGTTTTTGTTTTTCACAAGCAAAATTAAATTCCTATGAGGTGTTTTCTCTGTGTTTCTTTACTCTGCTGTCACTCATGTAACTTCAAATTCTGTTTCAAATATTTGAGGGGGTCAGGACAATAACATGTAAAATGGAAGGTTTTTCAGAATACTTTCAGAATAGTAATTAAGTTCTGTCCCTGAATGTGTAATAAATGACATATCATGATGTTTTTAGCAGTTTGACGTATTCATGAAATTTACAGATAAGGATCCCATGAAGCATAGGACATTGAACACATACTCATTTAAAAGTATTTGCATACTATTTACTTTTCACAAATGACTATGGAAGTAACAAGTATTGCTGATTAATAGAAAAAACAGACTTACTTGTATAGATGTATATTTGTTTTTTCCCTCAGGATTATCCTGTAAATTGAGAAGAAAATTCTTATTTTTATGATTGCATGTTTTGTGTTTAGATAATGACTAATTTTTGTGTAATATCCCCTTGTTCTGCATTAGTTTTTCCTATCTATTTGACAGGTTGTTCAGAAAATCTAGTAGTTTATCTAACATTTAGTATCTAATATATAATTCTTCTACAATGCCAAATTTATATAGTAACTAATTCTTCTATGGAAAAGTATTTGTTTCCCTTACCAGCAGAGTTGAAAAATAAATTTTAATTCAGATTGGTGATTAAACTGAAACACAAGCAAACTAGACCTGAATGAAATCTATAACTTTACTCTTACACACAGCAGGGATAAAAAAAAAAAAAAAAAAAACCAAAAAAAAACCAAAACAAACAACAAACAGATAAAAATCTACGAAGGAAACTTTTTCGTTTACATGTAGTGTTTATATTTTATAATAAATGTTGCTATATTTAAATGCAAATACTATGTAAATATTATTTACTTTTCTGTCAGATGAAAATATTCAGGATTGACACGGATTCACAGATATTTTAGGTTGTTCTCCAACTGCATTTTTGATAGATACAATAAAATTCACTCATTTCTTCTGAATAGCCATCATGACTACCACGTAAGGTAGTGACCACATACAACTAATGACTGCAGACTATACCACCCCTACTAGCCTGCCAGAGTTATGTATTTTTTAAATTATTTTGCATGCTGTATTAGTCCATTTTAAAACAAAAGGAAATGAATTCAAACCTGTTTTATTGAATAACTGCATGCATGCTCATGTGGCACCTGAACATGAGTTTGCAAGGCATGCTGCTGTGCAGGACAGCTTCTAGAATCGATAACCACGCTAGCTTAAACACAGGGATCAGTCTAGGAGAAAGTGTAACAATATAGTCTCCCTTTTTTTGTGTTTATATTAAAATATATGAGAAATGAAAACAATGAGGTCATGGAAAACTTCAGAAAGTGGAGTTCCAGAGGGACAGCTGGTCTTTTGTAAGTTTTGGAAGAAGAGATGCATTAAATGGCACTGCGTTTTAAAAAAATGGAGGAGAAAATACGTGTGATAGTTAAAAGAGACTCCCTCCTGCATGGGATGGCAGCACCAATCTCCTGACCTGACCTGATGGAGGTCTGTTGCTTGCCAGGGGCCAGGATCCAGGATGCTGCAGGACTGCCAGATTTGTCTGGCCATTGAACTATTACCCCTCCCTGCTCTTCTGCGGGGGCACCGATGATACGGCTGGGGATAACCTAGATTTTTTCAAGGGTGATTGCAGAGCACTTGGGGGATGGTGTCTCCTCAGTCCTTCCAGTGCGAGGGAAAGGCTCGAGCAGAATTGCACTTATCCAGCAGGTCAACACTCGTCTGGGTGACTGGTGTCACAAGCAGGGCTTTGGATTCTACAACCTTGGGACCCTTTTTGAGAAACAGGGGCTACTAAGCAGGCATGGGATGCACTTCACCAAGTGGGGCGAGAGTGTCCTTGCAAACAGGCTTCCTAACCTGGTTCTCGTTCTCTGTGTAAAGGTGTGCCTTGAATACCTCTGTGTTGATCTATAGCTCTGTTTTGGGACAAATGACAAACCAGTAAAAGAGCTTGTGAGTAGGCATCAGAGGAAAGACCATCAGAGGTGACAAGTTGTAGGTGTTTGTTCCAGATCTCCCAATGAAGAAAAGGAAGCAGATGAGACCCTCTTCAAGCAGCTTCATAAAGCCTCACAGCCACAGGCCTTGCTGCTCAAGGGAAACTGCCTTGGAGGGCAAAGCTGCTGGTTGAGCTACAAGAACAGCCTCCTCAGAGCACAAGAATGGTCCATTCTGGTAGTCAGAAAATCAATCAAGTGTGCCAGGGGAGCATGGCAGGACATGACGCTTGAGTTTGAGCTCAGAGATCAAAAGGAAGTATGCAGAAGGTAGAGTAAGGGATTTGGGAGGAATACAAAGGTATCATCTGCACATGCAGGAATGGAGTTAGGAAAGCAAAAGCTCAGCTGGAGTTGAGACTAGTGAGGGAGGTGAACACAAGAAAGGTTTGTATGAGTGTAATGGCAGCAAAAGGGAGGTTAAGGAGGATGCAGTTCCATTGCTCACTGAGTTGGGGGAACCTAGTGACAAGGGACAAGTGAAAGGCTGAGGTATTTGGTGCCTTTTTAGCTCAGTTTTAACCAGTAAAAGTTGTTTTCAAGTTTTCCAAATACTCTGATCTATAGAGTCTTAACTCAAATCAGTTTATCAGTGTCAGATATGAAAAAATGTTATTGAAATTATGTTACTCATGGTGTTATCCTTTTTTGTTTGTTTGTTTGTTTGTTTCATCCCAATGCATGCAATTTCCAACTATGAAAATAAAGTTTAAAGGCTGACTGTATATGTTGGTCATAGCGTATTAGTAAAAAAATACAAGTTGATGCCTGGCAGTGGTAAAGCAAATTTTGCAATACAGTAATTGCTGGACCTTGACATAATTGGTAACATGAAAACTGCCAATGATTGTTAAAAAAATGCTAGATAATTCAGACTACATGTGAATTGAATATTCTTCATCAACCTAATATTTGGCATATTGAAATATGTTAAGAAGTATGTATTGCTTTACTTCAGTGCACTTTTATTTCAATGTCACACAGAATTTTCTATAAGCTTTCTTACAGAAAGCTTTGCTACAATGGCCAAGGGATTCACAGAAGTAATGTAGTTTTGTAGAAGTTAGTTGGGCTTGCAAGAAAACTCATCTGTTTAATAGCAAGCCTGATCCAGGCTACAAAGTTCCAAATAGCAGAAATCTATTGAATGCCTTCAACCAGCCACTAAGTGGCCCAATCTGGCTGTAGTACAAGAAGGTTTTCCCTTTGCAGTCACTATCTGCCACCCTGTGACCATTTGATGCAATTCTGCCACAGTTACAGTAGTTTCAGTCTACTCCTCTTGCAGCAGAGCAACAGCAATCTCACTCCTTCCCTATTCCTGCAAAAGGACTTGTAAAGCCAAGATCTGAATTTGACTTTTGGTATCATTCCCTCAGTAGCCTGTGCTTATTCGCACTGCCTTTCTACTTTCTCTCACATTTATTTCCCTTTTATTTAACATTTTAGAGCTTCGGCTTTCAGACCAACAAGTATGTTGTTTATATATGCTATCTGGTTAAACATTTCATATATAGAGAAATTTCATCCCCCTCCATCAGCTCACACTTGTTCAGTGGATGCACATTTCTCTATTCAGTATTTACAACCCAAATCTGCCCTTTCACAGAGGTACAGTCACCACTGGAAGAACTCCAATCCAGGACAGGTCCAGCAGGTCTCAGTGAAAGAAGTGACATTTCTGAGTTTTGTCACAGCTGTGATATGTTCAAGTCTTGATTAACCATACTTCTGCTCTCAGTCCCACACAAAGTCATCCAGTGTCTCTCCAACAATATCTCACTCAGGGAATTAAAAATATGGGGCAGTATGGCATAATAGGGTTCCTGAAAGGCATAGCCACAAGGGAATATGGTGGTACATTTGAGAAAGACTACACTGTCCGAGAGAGACTGATCTTCTTTTCACTCATATGTATTGGTAAATGCAAACATATGTATTTATGTTAAATGTTGATGAAGAAATTCCTCTTACCTTATATTTTATGTTGATTTCATATTTAAAACACTTGTCTTTGTTAGAATGACTTATTTGAGGTTGTTGCCATTGAATTATGCAATTATTGTTAATTTCATCACAGCTGACAGTGATATTTGATGGAGGCATGAGCTTTTCTGAAAAGATATGACCAAAAATTCAACTAATCACAATCACCTGATATCTTTTTGCTTTGATAAAAGAGAGTGCAATTGCAAGCAACACCTCTATGAAGAAAGATACTCATTTGTATCTATTTTTCTTAGGAAGTCTGTTAGAAATAGTTGAAAGACCAAAGTTCTTTAAATCCTGTCCTCAGAATCAGAAAAAACAGGGAGTAAGCCACAGAAGGTGACTTAGGGGCATACAAAGATACAAGCCCCCTCCATTTATTTTTCAGGATAAATAAAATACAGTCCTCTTTTCTTTTATAAGGATGATTTTCACTGCAGAAGAACAAGCTGATGCTAATCCTAATGTACGAAATCCAAAGGTCATTTCTTCAAGCCTCGTCACAAGATGCTTCTGTGACACAAAGGTGTTGCTTGCTCGGTGTTATGAACTATGCAGTTTATTTCTCCCTTCCAAAAAATTAGTCATACAAATTTAAGACAGACACTTCAGTTTTAAGAATCTAGCCAGCTTCTTCACATATGTCCCCTAATTTCACAGGTGTGAGCAAAAATGTGAAGACCTTTATATTTTGATCATCATTAAGGACCTGATTATTGTAACAGTAAAAGACAGTCACTCGTTACAGAAATGGTGGTAAAAGGTTGATAGAGGATAGCTTAATTTTAGCTAGACTATTACTTTACATCAGTCTTTAGATGCAGGCCTGGCCTATTTGTAATGGGCTGTTTGGTCAAAGAACAGACTTGTTTCATCTGCCATGGGTGGTATTACAGCTCAATTCCTTCTCATAGAATGAAGCCTTGTTTGCCCATTTTTTGGAAACAATACCAAAACCAGCGGGACTTTGAAAAAAAGTCTGCCACCATAAAATAATTGCACAGGATGCTTCCAAGTAGAGCACCACATATGAAAAAGTATAAGAAAACCTGGGGTATTTTGTACAGATATTAATTTCTTTAATCAAGGATATGGGGTGTGTGTATGCCATCCCACTGGCAATGAGAAGCAGAAATCAGTGCTCAGATAAAATTCTGAAACGTCTCCTCTGTTGAAATGTATTGAGTCATCAGTGAAAGGACAGCAAGGGGAAACAATCTCTTAATTCCTGTGGATATTGCTGGAGAAAAACCTAAACCCAATAAGGGTAGATAGCTAAAGGATCTGAGGCAGGCTGCAGCTGTGGAGCTTTCTTGCTTAATTTCCCTCATTGCTCTTTTTCTTGGGCAATAGGTTTCCTTGAAGAGGCCACAGTCTCTTTCAACTCTAGGTGAGATAGGGTACTCGGCTCCTTCCTAGGGATAAATGCTCTACTACCCTCATAATATAATGAAAATAAAACAGCAAGAAATTACTTACTTACCAATTTGATACAGTTCAACATACTCATCATAGAACTGGATCGGTGTTTCTTTGCTAGACCCGTTCACCAGGAAGTAAGCTTTTTCAAGCTCTATTGTCACATTTTGGAATCTACATCCCATGTTTCTTCCATTTTCATCTTTAATGTAAAGCTCACATTCCATCACATCACCATCTCTGTATATAGCAAGGTATTTTAGTGAAACGTGAGCAGTATGATGTGTTGAATGAGAATTCAGACTTCCCTCGACTCAAGCAGACCTACTTACCTTGAGTTCTTCCAGTAGAGAAAATATTGGGTATCTCCTGGAGCATCCCTGCCTGCCTGCCAAGAGCACTTCATGAGGGAAATGTTATAAATCACACAGGAGAAGTTTTCAATGGCTGACCCATTCACGTCTGCAAACACAGAAATATCCGTGATGAGGAAAAATTGTGTGACTGCTCCAAGCTGGAGGATCTTGGCACACACCTAGATATGTTAGACACCTGCAACTTCAGCTGGCTATTGCTTGGGTTAGGAATGACTTGCTTCATTTTAGGTAGTAACATCAGAAGATATTTTCACTGACAGATTCAGTGAATAATTTGTCATGCATAAATCCTCCAAAGATATGGTTATAGCTGCATCTGATAGAATAAGTCTCAGGGGAGTCTATACTGCTCTAGTATAGGCTGACACCTAAAGTGGCTAGCCCTGTGCTTTGAATTGTTCCTGTTGAAAAAGAGACACTGGTGCCAAAATGCCACAAGGTGAAACATTTGCCTGTCGTCCTTTAGTACCCTGCTGTAGCATTTCTATTTGAAGGATGTTCTTCAGCCCCCTATCAAATGAGTGGAGAGCATGAGGAGCTTCCCTGTGGACTCCAGAAAGGGAAAGAAACTCAAGTGCAGAACTGTGAAGTTTTTCAAGACTTCTGAGAGGTGTAGGTGTAAACTTGTGAGGTGTTTGTGCTCTGCAGAGATACCTTCTTCCATCTGGGATTAACATGAGAAATCATCTGCTTGATGAGGCAGGAAGTAGTGTCATTTTGTATATGCCAACTCCATATTGCTTAAACGAGCAAATCTTGTACCTCATTCACTTGACAGTCTTATATATATTACCCCCCTCATACAAAGAAGAACAGACTCTCTCAGACCTTTCATTATTGTGGATGGGACACTGCAAAGTGTTGAGCATTACACCATGAGTTGTGCCATAACAAAATTCAAGGTGTCACAGATTTCTCAAGGAAGAATTTATGAACTACAGCCACAAACCTGTTTCACTTGGATTTTTAAAAACATTTTAAAGATATTTCGAATGCAGTCAATAAAATTTTAGCACAAACAATTAAAAGAGAATTGGCAGTTAAAAAGATGGCACCAAGCAAGGTGGTAACTGAGGGCTAGAAAATTACTGAACTAGTTGTAGGAACCTCCTTTTATTTTCACAGAAACAGTGTCATAGGACTGAGAACAAGAACCTGTTCATCCTAGAGGAAACAAATTAATTAAGGAATTAAAGATTTCAGTTTTTCTTTTATCCCCAGGCCACCTGAAGTAGGAAAATCCTTCCCCAAAGTCTAGTATATTACCTTGAGGAATATATCTGCATATGCTTGAGTATGTGCCATTCATGTTCACTGCTGTGACAGAAAAGCTTGCCCCATTGTGCAGAGGAGGTGATATATTTCCAAACATGCACTTCATATTCTTTGCTTGGAAAAGGCCAGGCAGAATGTTTACTTTTTAGTTGTTCAGCTATTGCTTTATGCAGTGTTATTCCCTGTAGAAAGGGCTTAAGCTTGTGCTTCATTTGTAACACTGAGACCACAATAGTGAAGTGGGGACTGATGACTTCCCAGGACTGATGTCTTCCCAGGCTTGAGAAATCTCTTCCCAGAAGTTTTGTGTAATTAGCCTTTACCAGTGTAAGGTGAAGAGTTCAGTGCTTCCCTCCAGTAAGTGTCATGGCAGTGTTAGAAATAGCAGTTCCTCCCCTCCTTCTACCCATAGTCCACCAAATCAGTTGAACTGCCTCAAAATAGAGCGTATGCGCTTTCATAAGAATCAATAGATGGCTGTAATGTGCTATACACTCCTTTGAAAAACAAAGGGAGATATCGCACAAATGACTGCCCGAGCAAGGAGCTGGCTTAAGGTTCATCTCCACTAACATTAGCTTTCTAAAAACTAACACCGAATTTGGGAAAGTCATATAGATGCCTTGTCTGTGGAGTGGTGAAGGAAGACACAGACAGTGGCATATCAGATGCATGGGATACACTGCCTTCGGGCAGGGGCTGTACCTGTCCAGTAGCTCCCGACAGAGCTTAGAGGACTATAATTTCCATGCTTATATAGTTGAAATAAGGGTGACGTGAATCTACTCAAATCCATGATTACTGATACAGACGATATAATTGCATGAAGTATCAGTGGTGTCCCCAGATGTCAGATTTTTCTAGAAACTGCCTATAGAAACATTAATGTTGTGGCATACAACTTGCTTGACACAGTAGCATAACATAAAATGCTCCCAGTATATTCATGCAAAATAAAGTGTCAAAACAAATATCTTCCTTTTACAGTTCCTATTCAACATTATTTTGGAGATTACCTACCCACAAGAAATATTGGCCAAACAGATAGAGACAGATTTGAGCTCTACAGAAAGAGAATTTAGTTAAGGCAGGAGTAACACATGTATGGGGAAAGGAATAATCCCAAGACTGAAACTTCATGCTTTGCTTTGAAGTATCTGTGCAGCTTGTAAAGGCCAGTGAAAGAGAAAACTATTTTTCTTAACAAACAGTTACAAAATAGGAAATGCTTAGCTTGCTGTCTTCTTTGCATAAGAACTGAAAACAGAATAAACCAGAAGCAGAAGTTGCTTTTTCTTAAAGTCATGACACTTCTCATGTAATCCATTTACACAAGATCTTAGTTCTAGACCTCCTGTCTGCTATCAAAAGCTTGGATTTGAACTGGAGCTGAAGTTTGGATCTCATATGGAAATCAATTTGACAAGGAATGTGAAAAATAATAAGGGCTTCTACAGGTACGTTGGTCAAAGAAAGATTAAAGAAGGTGTACCTTCTCTAATAAATAAGACAGGAGAACTAGTGACAGCTGACATGGAGAAGACTGAGGCAGTCAACAGATTTTTTCCTCAGTGTTCACTGAGAATCACTCTTCCCACATCTCTCAAGTCCCTGAATCTCAAGGCAGGGACTAAGGGAATGAAGTCCCTCCCATTATATGAGAGGATCAGGTTTGAGACCACCTGAAGAACCTGAGCATACATAAGTCCATGGGACTCAGTGAGATGCATCCTAGGTGTCCTGGTTTGGGATGAAATAGAGTTAATGTTCCTTTTTGATAATTAGAATAGTGCTGTGTTTTGGATTTAGCTTTGGGTTTGGTATGAGAAGAATGCTGAGAGCACACTGAGGTTTTCAGCTGCTGCTGAGATTTCAAGGACTCTCCGACTCCCCATGTCCTGCCCGTGCACAAGAAGCAGGGAGGGAGCACGGCCAGAGCACCTGACCCACATTGGCCAATGAAATATTCCATATCATGGAACGTCATGCTCACTATGTAGAGGAGGGGTGGTTGGGAAGGAGCTCTCTCTCTCGCTTCTGGGATTGCGATTGAGGGATCTTGGTATCTCGGGGTCGCTGGCCGGGAACGGGCTGGGGACTGGTCAGTGGGTGGTGAGCAATTACATTGTGCATTGCCCATTTATATTTTTTTCTATTATTGTCATTGTTCTCATTTTATTACCATTATTAAACTGTTCCTATCTCAGCCTGCAAGTCTCCCTTTACCCCTCCAATTCCCTCCCCCATTCCCAGGTGGGGAGGGGGAAGAGTGGGTGACCGGCTGTGGGGTAGTTGGCTGCCGACCAGGCTCAAACCACAACACTAAGGTCCTGAGGGAATTAGCTGATGTAGCTGACAAGCCACTCTCCATCATACTTAAAAAGTCATGGCTGTCAGGCAAAGTACTGGTAACTGGATAAAAATGAATACTGCACCCATTTTTCAAAAGGATCATAAGCAGGATCTTGGGAACTACCGACCAGTCAGCCCCACCTCCATGCCTGGTAAAGTCAGACAACAGATCCTTAGAAGTTTTCATCTGCACAGCATGACATGCCTTTCACCAAAGTTCCTCCGAATCCAGGGAAAGAGGTAATCTTACACTTCAGTCCCATCAATGCCCTGATTTCACAAAGGTCGTCTGAAGGCAAGAATTTCACAAGAATGGCCAGAGAAGGCTGATATGCCTCAGTACCAAAATAAGTCTCAACAAAAACTAGAAAGGACTACTAAAAGACAGACTTTTTTCAATGAAGGATACTTTTTTCAGTTACTGAAGTATATGAAAGAAAAAGAAGAAAGTGTAATGATTTATTGCTGTTAAAACTTTACATGGCAAGTTTACCATTATGGTCTCAGTAAAATCTCCTACAGTCTCTAAACACCAGTGCTAAGTGAAATTCATGCTGCTCATCCAATTCAGTTCAATTTTCCACTGATTCAGCATCAAATTTCTAATAAGTGAGTCTGGCATCTCCACTGAAAGTGTCACACAATAGGATTAGTAAGGTGCAGAACTGATTCCCAGATTTTTGGAAGCAGAAGTTACTACTTAGCACATCCAAGACAGAAGGCAACTTAAGCACAGCTACCCATGATGAGAAGCACATTACACTCCACCTCAAAGGATTTCCCCATGGAGGTGTTCTACTCACAGTCTGTGTAGTGCCAGCCAACACACAACTGCATGATTATCAACATCCACTGGGTCATGAAGATGAGTGGAAGAGCAGCAGACATCTTGTCCTCCTTGGAGACAGAGAAAAGTGAAACTTGCTCAGTGTGAAAAGTGCCAGTATGAACCACTCTCCTCTAAACCTGTGTAGTCTGACCTGCTCATATGCCTGTTTCTACACTATATGACCATCTCTCAGTTTTGGTGGGAGGAAAGATTATACAGGCTTCTCAAAACGTCAGAGAAATGTTAAAATAAACAGTAACAAAGTTAAAGAAATTGTCCTAATCTGTAACAAAACAATTTGTGCGATGATTCATAAAGCTGGTGATCTTGGGAGCACTGCATAGATGTTACATACATACATTTGGTGACTGCTATCTTAAGGTCTAAAGATTATTTACCTCTCTGCTATATACAAAGGTTAGGATGAATAGACATCAAGCAGGCAGGTAAACAGCTGCAAACAGAAAATATGAAAACATGTCACAGAAATATCAATCAGCTTGTTACCTAATGGTGAATATAGTAAGATTGGTGAGGACGTTAGTTCATGTACTTTCAAAGATATTTTTGAGTATCTGCTTAAAAGTGGATCTATGAGTGATGCCTAATTTCTACAAATTCAGTACCAAATCCAGTAAGAAAATCAAAACTGTGTCTAACACCTTTCTTAGGAGGCAGTAAGCATTTTATTTGCAAAAAACTTAATTCAGCTTAGCCCCATGTATTCCTCTGAGAGCTTTTTAGATTTTACCTGGGACATCACCCCTCCAGCCCTGCACTTCCTAGAGTCTCACTGAATACTTCAGCAAACAAAACAGAAAGACAAAGATAGACCTACCTTCTATTTCAAAATGTCTTTATCATGTTTATCTTTCTATCATAGTCTTCAGGCTCAGAGAAGATGGAAATATTTGTATTTTAAATGGTTGTATAGCTATAAATAGGGCTGTCTCCCTTGCCGCTGGTGTTTTGGGGAACTGTCATACTGTCGGAAGTATTGCAAGACACAATGTTCATCACTTCCCTCCTGATTCTTGCCAACTTCACGTAATTGTACAACTCGTGATTTCATATAACATGAACAAGCAATTAGCTGCTTAAATTTTCCTTTCTGTTCTACAGAGTCCACTGGTGCTTGGGAATCCAGTAAGTGCATAAAAATCCTTTCTTTCACAGGTATTTCTCTCTAGCTCTAAATAATACTAAATAGCACAAAGCATCTCTCAGTATAAACCAGCTCTGGGGGCTGGGGTCAGCGGGGGGTCCCCGTGATGGGTCAGGGCAGGGCCCCAACCTGGATCAGGGCAGCCCCAGCCCCGGCATCGGGCACCTCCCTGGGGATGGGGGTGGGTCACGGGCCTGCGGGGGGGCCCGGCTCGGCGGGGCCCATGGCCGGGCAGGGCAGGGCTGTGGGGAGCTGGAGACCGGCCCTGCTGGGGGATCGCTGGGGCAGGGGCTGACGGCCCCGGGGGATGACATGGGGTGCTGGGCCATGGTGTCCTGGGTTGAGTGAATGGTGGAGTTTTTTGGTGGCAGGGGAGGGGGCTATCGGGGCGGCCCCCTGTGAGAAGCTTCTCAAAGCTCCCCCAGCTCCACGTCGGCTCCACCTCTGCACCAAAACTGAGCCCATCAGCTGCGCCTCTGCAATAACGTATTTAAGAAGGGACGTGGTGAGGAGCAGTCGGACTTGTGAGGAGGAGTTGCTGCAGCTGCGTGAACACCAAGGCCAGTGGAAGAACGGAGGAAGAAAGGAGGGGGGAGGTGTGCCGGAGCAGAGACCCCCCTGTATCCTGTGGGGAGACAGCAGGGCGCCCTCCCCCCCCCCCCCGCCATCCATGTAGATCGATGGTGGAGCAGACACTGATTTATGGCCTGTGGCTTCTGCTCAGTTGATCAAGGTTATGTACCCGAAGAAGGCCGGGGTCTTGTGGGAAAAGGCAGCCCCGCTGCTGTAATTCAGTGCTGGGAGGATTGCAGCATGCGGGGGTGTCCCACGCTGGAGCAGCTCGGGAAGGGCTGCAGCCGTGGGAGAGAATCCAGTCGGAGGAAGTTGGTGACCCATGACGGAGCAGTGTGGGGAACGCTGCGGCCCATGGGAGGAATTCATGTCATAGAAAGTTTGTGGAGGACTGTCTGCTGTGAGAGGGGGACCACGATGGAGCAGGAGGAACAAGTTTCGGACACTCCCCTCACCGAAGATGAAGGAAGTGGCAGCACTGACTGCACCCCCCATTCCCTGCCCCTGTGCCCCTGGGGGAGGAGGTAGAGATATCGGGAGCAGAACTGAGCCCGGGAAGAAGGGAGGGGTGGGGGGAAGGTGTTCTCAAGAGGTGGCAATGCTTCTCACTGTCCTACTCTTTTATGTGTTGTTAGTGTCTGTAATAAATGTATGTTCTTTTTTCCTTCCCCTAATGAGTCTGCCTTTTGCTCGTGATCATAAAAGGGGGATTTTTCCCCATCCCAGTCCTATCTCGGAGCCCAAGCCTGGCTCTCTGTCCCTTCTCATTGCCGGAGGGGAAGGGAGAGAGAGGTGCTGCATTGTGGTTGGCTGCCAATCAGGCCTAAACCACGACACATGAGCAGGGTGGGGGGAGCCCCGGGGGCTGACATGGGGTGCCAGGCCATGGGCAGGGTGGGGGGAGCCCCGGGGGCTGACATGGGGTGCCGGGCCGTGGGCAGGGTGGGGGGAGCCCCGGGGGGCTGGGCAGGGACGGTCTATGAGGGCACTCAGGGAGATGAAAATGCAAATTGTAAAGGTTCCTTAAGCCTGTGGAAAAAGAAGATTTCAAATCTTGGATATGAAGTCTTCAAATAAGGTATGTCACTATAAAAAGTTGCGATCTGGATTTGTTCTCAGTCCATACCTCACAGTGTCAAAAAAAACAAACCACACACCACTGCAAAAAAGGACAAAAACTTGCAAGTAGTTAGCATCCAACTACAAAAGCCACTCCAGGAATGAATGATGCTGAGCATTTGTCCCTTTCTCAGGCCAAAGCCGTGCATTTTCTAAATGAAAGGATCATTAAAAAACAGTATAAAACATCAAAATCTCCCTTATACCCTAAAAGGCTTTTCTCCACAAAAGACAATGTAATTTACTTAATATGTAGATTTAGAATCCATGTAAAGCTATTTAATTTCTTCACATGTTGAAAATGAAGCGTCATTAGAAAATAGGATATTTTTCAAACAGCAAGATATGTCAACATTTTCCTCTTAAAAACAGGCAGTTCTATTCTGCTGGAGTTAAAAATCTGTAGGAGAGAGAACTGTCCACATGCTTCTCTACCATTCCCATTTCTTGTATACTATATTTGGAAAAAGTCTCCTGCTGCCCAACACCCTTATAGGATGCTCCAGGATTCACCTTTATCAAAATCCCAAGATCATTCTTATCCTACTGCTTCTTCACTGACAGATGAAGTGATATAACCATATCAGCAATTCGTACATAACTAAGATAAAGTTATTTCCAAAAGAAAAAAAAAAAAACCAAACCCAAAGACAGTGCAGTGCTGACTGTCTTTGGGGACAGAGGGCTTACTTTCTAGAGACCCAGAATTTCCTAGACCCATGAGCATTTCTGCTTCCTAGATTCCTGATAGAGTGTGAGATTTATGATTGATGAGCTATAAGTGGACCATCATTTTCCAGGTTCATTCACTTATGTTACTTGTAAACAGGAATAATACTGAGTTGTCCCTGAGAACAGCCAACACCCCAAAGCAGATATCTAACCTACTTTTTTCTCCGCAACTCATACGGTGTAAAGGGAACAGGTGTTGTATAACAAATCTATCTGTCATATTAGCAACTTCTTGACTGCAAAATTATTTTCTACACAAATAAAAATTGAACCAGCTCACATGCAGTACTAGAAGCATAGAGCAAGGCATGAACTGCAAAACAATGTGTCAAGTGACAACCTATAACTGTGTTCATGCATTTGATCATGTCTGTCAGTAACATGGTACTGGTTGAGAAGATGAACAACTCACCTTGAGCATCCAGAACTTAAAAAAAACTGCAATCATCCCCAGAAACGGTAATCATGAGAGAATCAACAGACCCTGGCCTGGTCTTTTGCGGTTTCAGAGGAAAGGTCTAATGCTATGGTGGCTCTATAAGGACCAATTAATGTGAGTTCACTTTCTTCATATAAGACACAATAAAAATGTGACAAAGTTTTTTTGAGGTGTAGTTATGAAGCAAATAGTGGGAATGAGGAGCAAATAAGAATAGGTGGATATTCTACCAAAATGCAGGTTTAGTTACATAAAAAGTTCTTTTAGATAAGAATCACTATGACTATCTCTATCACATTGAAGGTGTCAACAGACAAAGCAACTGACAGTTTAGACTTCAGGTCTGGGCCCATGATAGTCATTCAGAGGAAAAAGTAGTCCATCGTCAGAAATTTCATTGTATTTCCAGATTAAAGAAATTCCATACTTATCCATGTAGGTATTTTTTGAACACTTACTGAGCTGTAAAGGGGTTATAAAGGACTTCTGATCACAAAGAATGTAAAAACTCACACTTCATTTTAACCTTATCTTTGGAAGAAAGCACTTAATTTTGTGGTGGTAACAGACTGCATTTCATGGAGAAGGGAGGAGGGGAAGTGACCAGGGTAATAAAATTAGAGCTGTAGGAAATGTCACGGAGAAACAAATGGGGTTCAAGGAATGAAGAAAAACCTTGCTTCTGTGCATCTGCCTTTCTCTCTGCTTTCCCCCAGCCTTCCACTTCCCTTGGTCTCCATCCTCCAATAGGTCAGTTACGAGAGGGTTAAGCAGTCTCCCACCCACTCCATGAGCAGACATCCAAACCAGGAGCTCTGCTCACCCACTGGCACCTCACACTGATGGTGCGGAGAAGGGAGGGAGCTGAGGTGAGCCATTGGGCTGGGGAGGAGAAAGGCTAGGATCAGTTGTGCCGAAGTTGCATTTACTGATCCTGCAACACGTTAGGGACAGTGTTTATGGGCAGCTGTTTCTGTGAGGGAGCTGTAGCTTCACATTCTTATGGAGATGTCTTGGCAGAAGCAGTTGGACCTCAAGGCTGTACCCACTGACGTCTGTGGCTGGATTGCTGGGCAGCGTCTGTATCTTAGACACCCTTCCATCACACTGCTTAGTGTTGATGCAGTGGGATGTTGACCACCCTGGGCAACTGTGTGTTTTTTTTCTGTGCCTAAATCTGGTCCGGGGAAGTGCTGTCAACTACCAGCCTTTGAGTCATCCCAGTTATGCATCTTGCAATGGGTGGAAAAGGACAAACACATGTGTCCAGTGCTGGGTTCTCTTTCTCCAGTTGAACTGTCAACTGTATGGATACTTGTGCACCCCAGGCAAAGCCCCATGCTCCCACTCTGAAGATCTCCCCAGCCTGTAGAGCAGGCATCAGAGGAGCAGTGTGCTCTTTGGTGCTGTCTCAGATTATGCACCTTTGTAACACAGTGAGGAAGTCTGGGTTTTGAGGTTTTGGGGTTTTGGTATTTTTTGGTTTTAAGATGAAATATACTGCAGCACAACAATCCAAACAGCCCACAGGGACAGCGGTGTTACCACAGACAAAGGAAGTATCCTGTCCAGGGGATTTCTTTGCTTGCCTATATTTAGGGCTAGACCTCATCTGAGGCTTTCATAAATGAAGATGAATTAAAAAAAAGAAAAAAATCTCCAAGCAAAGATGGTGCTATTGATGGTGCCACCAAAGTCAGTGATCTTTTAGAGGCCAGAAAACTAGTGTCGAGTGGCCTTGTTATGATCCAGGAGCTGGAAAATGAATTAAAAGAAGAAGAGAAAGAGAAAGAAGAAGAGAGAGACAAGAGAAATCTGGGCAGAGACATTAGGGCTGTTTTTTCAATTTTCACTCTACAGGGAGTAGAGTCACTGTAGGAACAGGATTAAAACCAACTTTTTTCTGTCTTTGTGTGGTACCAGCAAGGTTTTACAGCTCTAATGCACTGATGCAGTGTAGGACTGGATGATGGTAGAGGCTTTTAGAAGTGGAGACACAGGATAGGATGTAGAGGTATAGAGGCATGGGGCTGGATAAGAGATGGGACACAGGCACGGCGCTGGGGACTTCATGGCTATAAATGGCCTCTAACCCCTGGTTTTCCCAATCCAAAAAATCTATCCACAGAAGCACAATGTGTAGTTAGACTCCAAATTGATGGTTTTCTCTCATATCTCCTCACTAATTGGAGGATTCAGGATGTGTTGCTTCTGTTTTGTCCAGGTGTTATAAAACCCCACAACTGGCCAGCGACATTTGCAGCTGGCAAGTGACAGGCTTCTGCTGCAGAGTTCAGAAGTTCAATTTCCAACATTTCCCACCCCACATGCATACACATAATTATCTGCTACTTGTTAGCAATCACATTTTAAGTTATTTTTTCATCTACCACAGATATGAAGTGGTGAAAAGTGGGAGGAAATTTTTGGGTTTGTAAAATGCTGTGAGAAACATCTAAGGCATGCTGTGGTGAATGATATAGCAACGTAGTTTGAAGGCAACAAATAGATTTATGAGAAAATTGTCTCTTGAACTCTTTAACAGTACTCATTTTGTATGAACAAATGATAATTCTTAAGATGTTTAATCTTTGATGGTTTCCTGTGGGTGTTCATACAGATGACAAATGTATATTCATGATCACAGTCTCAGTATGGCTGTACCTTTTCCAAGGTACCGTACCGCTAGATATCCTGAATAATCCCTTTAAGTTTGGTTTTTCTTACTTTATTCTTTTGAATGGTATTGAAAAGCAGTATAATAACTTACAAATCACTACTGAAATATTTTTGCTGAAACATTGCAAGAATATTCATCATAAGAATAAACAAAAACAGTCCAAACAACTCTATTATGGAAAATGCAATCAAATACAAAGAGACTTTTAAAGATAGGCTCTTGGGGAATTGTTACTACAGGCAACACCATTTGCTCTTCTCACAAGAAGGAGAGAATATGAAGAACCTGTAAATTGCTGTCAACAAGATATATATGTTTGAAAAAGTTCAAGTTGCTCATTTCACTTGCATGTTATTACATCACTTCTTCAACAGTTATTATTTCTTCAGTGTCATGCTTTATTAATGGATTCTTGTATTCTGTCTATTAAAGGAAGAATAAAACATTTCATTAGTGTTTCACGCGTGAGATTAACCATGAGTTTACAATCTATGAACCTCCTGTCATTCAGAGAGTTGTTATTTATTATGTAGAAGCTGTAGTGTAACTCTCAATGAGAGGACTGAACTAGACGTGTCTAGATCTTCCCTCCATGATGAGGTCCCCAAAGAGGCACAAAAGTTTTTTCAATTCAAAAGCCAGAATACTCATCTTTTTAAACATGGAAAAGTTAACATGATGAAGGAATAAAAGGTAAAAGGATTTATAAAGGCTCACCAGTGATCCAGTGTGTCCTTGCAGACACATTCTTGCTTCCAGACCTGGCTGTAGCCAACTTAAAGACTCTGCAAATTGCAAATTGCAGCAAACTGCAACATGCTTTCCAGATGGGCAGTTCCTGCAATGTCTGTCTGTCTGTTCCTTCTTCTCCTGAGTTTCTCCAGCTCTCTGCATAAGCTAGAACCTCTCAGCTCTCTGCTATACTTTCTTCCTTTCCATACCTTAGAAACTTTTCATCCTTCATTATCGTTGCCAAATACTAACATGAGTCTCAACTTCTGCTATGGCACAACTATTTTTGGCCAGCAGTAGATTCTCCCTTCTCTCCTGATTGCTGGCCAACAGTCTGATTCTGTATCATTATTGTGCTGAAAAGTTCAGGCTCAGCACTATTCTAGTGATAGCATATGGCTTAAAGGGAGAGCAGGGTGAAATTGTGTATTTTCTCCAATGTTCCTGTTAGATGGATGACAATTGTTTCAGAATGGAAAAGGAAACATGGACAAACTATTTGCATATGGACCTTCTCTTTAGATACCCCAGGAACAAGAAAAAGAAAGAAAATTTACCCTTGCTCCTGTGCACCTTTCTGACACTTAGGTCATACTTTTGAGACTGCAATGGATCTTTATTTAAAATAAATTTCAGACAAACGGAAAGAAAACATACCTTGAAATCCATTGAAGAGAGCTCATAAAATGTGTCCCTTGGCTGTGGTACTGTAGCAGATGTTTTTTTCAAATAAATGCTTCTACAGTGACAAAAAGAGTAGGTGAAGAAAAGATGTAGTATACAAACATATGAACATGTACTATATAATAATGCCTCTGAGGTATTATTTTATTCCTCTAAGACAAAAGCATTGAAATAGTAACTATAAATTACATAGGCTGAATACAATGGTATCATTTAATTGTTCAGAAATTGGATGATAGCAATTTATTTATGACTTATTAAAGAATCACAAGAAATTGGCTTTTTAAGTATCTGAAAGGGAAATATCCTCAAAACAAGTAAACAATTTCATGTATCACCCATCTAAATTGCAAGGCCTGATGGCAGGAAAGCGGCATTGATGTAAGGCCTTGTCCCAGTATTGGAAAGTGTATTGTATTGATCAGGTGGATAAGAAGGTGGGAATCAGAAATACAGAGCCCACCTGAGGAACATCCGGCAGGTCATGATTCCTACTATAGTTTAATGTCAATTTTCCCTTCCCTCCTCTCCTTTAAAAGGAGGCCAGAAATTTTCTGTTGGGGAAAGAGGTGTTGTTTCAACTACAGCATAAAAATTTTGAACAAGATATAAGGCTTACACTGTGAAGAGAAAAAGTACAAGATTTGTTGCCAGCACTGATACCAGAAATAACATGTATGATGAAGTAGATGTAAGTTGCTCTTTCCCTGAAAGACAAGCAATCATCAAAGTGTTGATTAGTATCACAGAACGGGAATGATTGCACAGCTCTGTGCAATCTGTTTTGCATGATAGTGTGAGGCACCACTATGAGGTGTCTGCTTCTTTGGTTTAGTACCTCATTGCCCTATAACATGTGAAGGAACGGGGTGGCTGACAGTATGTGGACTGTCTATGGTAGCTTGAGACCTTACCAAGCGTTTTGTGAGGAACTGAGACCTACAGAGTACTTCAGAATCCAAGGTGGCAGAGAGTAATGGGGGAAAAGATAAGTTTATAAAGCCAGAAGTAGAAATGGAAGAAGGAGAAGACCTGGCAGCTGTCCTCAAAAAGGTCTGCCTTATTCACTATCTCCTTGCATGAAGCACCCACTGTCACACGAGAATGCTTGGAGGCCTCCCCCATGTCAAAAGATGCCAATTCCTTGCACCTTTTCAGCCTGGAAAATTAATGTGTAAATATCGGTGTTTTCGTCTGTAGGTATGAAGTCATAAATGAGGCAGACAAGTAATAACTGAGGGAAAACTAGGTCAAGGAAGTGATTTTCATTCTTACCAAACTCTACGGGTGTACTCCACTCTCCCCAGCTTGTGCTCACTAAACAGCCATTGTCAGTTGCTCTGATTTTAACGCTGTACCTTTTTCCTGTGCTGAAGCTCCCAAATACGTAGGAGTTTCCTGTGATGTTTCTTTCCTAAAAACGAAACAACTAGACTGAGAACTTTTTATTCATTGGTTGTACAGATGCTAAGAATGTGTCAGGTTCATTTAATGCTTCAAACAATTACAAAAGAAAATTATACATATACTTCCCTGAAGAGACTCTGGTGAAATAAGTAGAAAATCAGTCTTTAAAAAGTTATCTTGTTCCATCCTAATCCCCTTTGTTTGAACAATTTTGTTATTGGTGATACGAAGATGAAATTTGCAGTATGCTTCCCTACTACTTAGCCTCTGCTAAACAACAGGACTTTGCGAAAAAAATAACCAATAGTTTATTTTCAGTCTGTAAATTATTTATTTTACTAGAAGGTCATTTTTTAAAGATCTGGCATTCCCTTACCATAGATGTTTTCAAAACTGAAGTAGAGTTTAACAGCCAGATTATACAGAAGGGAAAATTTTGACATATATTGAAATCCTTCTCAGAAGAGTATGGAGCCTTCTTGAAAACTTATTTTTTTTTCCTTCTTCATAGTGGCTTATCTTTCAGGTGATATTTTCTTGCCTTCTCCATCTCAACTCCTTCCAGAGGCCATTAATAAATAAAAAATAATCCACATTTTGGGTGTCTAAGTGTAATGTGGAATTATAATCCATATTTCTACATATATGTGAATTTGGTAGGAAGTACAAAAGACTGTAAAATGGAAGATTTTGTGACTTGCATAGAAGTAGTATAAAGTTCCACATGTGCAGGTGTTTTTTGTACCATGTTTATAAACAGCAGTTTAAAACAATGAGTTTAGAAAACTTGTCAATAAAGAGCATATGGACTATACTGAAACTGGTAGCGTGCAACCGAAATAATTTGGTTGGAGGATGTTCCAATATAGATAAAATTTCAACCCAGCATAAATGTTAGATTAATATGATAATGAAAACTTACTATTTTAGATGTGGTTTTGATGGTTTTCTGAGGATCAGCCTAGTAACAAGAGAAAAATTTAATTTTTATTATTGTTCTTTTTGTTACCATATAATAAAGGGTCTTGCCTTATAAATGTTTGATTTTCAGGAATAAAAAAGTACATCTAATATTATAAATGCCTTCTTTGAAGACAGCGAAGTTAAGTTGTTCTTCCACTGAAAGGTTTCTCCTCACCACTGGTGCTCTGAAAGTCTGTACGCTTTAAATTTGATTGCAGAACCGAGTATCAAAGAACTAAAAAAAAATGCTCAGGTTGTCCATCTGTTAATATTTTACGTTTTACTTGTACAAAACAAAGTAATTTAAAAAATGCTAGTAAACTTGGACAATGTTGTTTCCATTAAATATTTTGTCTGTGTAGTTCTACATTCTTAAACATTTAATTTAGCTATGTTATGTCTCTATTTTTTTTTATTTTTTAATTGTGTTTTTAATGGTGGAACAACGTACTCACAAATATTTCTGCAAATATTTCAAGCTTTGTTTCTGATGGATGTAATACTACTTTTCATATTCATCCAAGTCTTCAAAATAGTTGCGATTACTGAAATGCATAATAACAACGATAGACCAGGAAAACCTGGATATTCTGTTCCAATAACCTGTAAGAATATTTCTTTTTATTCAGAGACGTGTATGGCTCTTTCCACTTTAACTTAAAAAAAAAAAAAGGACACAGAACTTAATAAAACCCCACAATGAACAGCTGCTGTATTACTGTCCCCCACACCTGATTGTGACAGTTTTGGTGCAACCGTCTTGACTGTCTATGCTGCAGAGCTACTTTAGATAAACCTAAACTCCTAAATTCCCTCAGCTGGTGTCAGTAAATGGAGGCAATAGGAGACGACAGCAACGTTGGATAAACAGAGAGCAGGATGGAAAGCACGGTGATCCAGGTGGAGATGCCTAAGAGCTCTTGCAGCACATCCTGATTTACAGCTGTGCCTATGTAACAAATCATGTGTTTCTTCTTCAGACCTAATTTAGCAATACTATAAACCTGATGGAGCAGTAAGGATGACCACAAGAAGCAGGAACAAATGCAGAATGAGTTTGTGAAAGACAAGATAAAAGTGACTGATGGAATAGGAGGTTGCAGAGGGGAAAACCATAGTATGAGTGGCAGTGGTGCTCATGTGCAAGTGGAGAACTATAGATCAACAAGGAGAGGTTAGGTAAGTAGGCAAGAGAACAGGGTATTAGTTGTATGGTAGCGTGTGTGGAAATACAAGCACACAAAATACTGCTAAGAGTCATAATTATTCTTACCTGGTTTTCTATAACAATTTCATACTTGAAACAAGCACGTCTTTTCACATGACTTGTGTGAGGTGGTTGCCACCGAATTTCACAGCTATGAAAAGTTTCTGTACAGTTCACAGTGACATTTAATGGAGGAGTAAGTTTTTCTACAATAATGTGATTAGAAATACAATTGATTAATAATCAGTTCTCTTCGCTCTGGCTTTTTTAAATATAGGTAGATGTTCAAGCAAATGGTCTAAAAAGGTGTAATGCAACTTTACCATAATTATTATATTCACTCCATATTCTGAAGCAGGACTCCCTGATTTAACACTTCAGTAGAGGAGCCTTCCATAACAGCAGGTAAAATTTAAAAACACAAACCATTTGTTAGATTTTACTGATTTCAGCATACAATCTGTGCAGGGTTTTTGTTTTGTTTAAGTTGGTTGGGGTTTGTTTTAATAGTGTGATCATATTAAACAGAAGCAATTTTTTTTTTTTTTTCAATTTTTGATTAGCAAAATTCTTCCATTAAAAAAAAGAAACGTTTTTGCTCATAGTGTTAAGGTAATTGGTTCTTTTGTATTGTGTGGATGAACAGAACTACAAGATAATGATGCAAGACCAACTTCTGGGTAGTCTCGCTCAGGCTTCTTTAGCTAGTTAATCCCGAAAGATAACACATTTCTTTCAGAGAATAAATATTTGACTGAAATATTCACAATTCTCTAACCTATGATTTCAGATTGTCTCTGCATTCACTTGGTTTTGTTCATTCTTGTACTTTTGACTTTTCAGCCATCAAGGCTGGGGAAAAAGAAAAAAAAAAAAATTGTCTGAGGAGCAGTATTTTAAAAATGTACGTTTTTTCCTTCATTCCCTTTACATAAAACTGGAAATAACATTGAAAAAAAAAAAATCCCACAAAAAACAAACCTTACCAATTTTGTACAGAAAAATCGTCTTCTTATATGATTGAATGTTTTGTCCACTTCTAGACCCATTTACCAGGAAACAAGCTCTCTTATTTGCTATTGTCACATTTTGGAATCTACATCCTGTGTGCATTCCAAAATTATCTCTGATGTAATTCTGGCATCCCGTGTAATCTTCTTTCCTTTACATGACATATTGCACTAGTTAAATATTGACAATGTCACATGTCAGACCAGAAATCAAAATTCCCTGGATTTCAGCAGACCTACTTACCTTGAGGTCTTCCAGTACAGGAAATATTGGGTATCTCCTGAAGCAGTCCTGTCCACATGCCAAGTGCAGTTCATGAAAGAAACATTAAAAATGACACAGACAAAATTTTCAATGGCTGTCCCATTCATGCCTGTAAACGCAGAGAGAATAGCTTACGTTTGCTCTGTGGGAAGACTGTATAACTGCTCAAATTACGCAGATCTCTTCAAGCTCATTTAGCGACCTGATTAGTAAATCCAATTGCATATTGTTTGGGTTTTGCAGTTACATGCTTACTTTGAGATAGCAGTGATTTTCTTTGTGTTGAGCCATGAGGATTATCTAACATAGACACATCTCTAGCATCTGTAACAATGTCATGCAGCTGACAGCACTGATTCCAAAAGAAATGCTGTTATTGAGTGGACCAAAACTTTTGACATCATTAGATGCTTAGGGAGAAAAGTATAAGGAGAGAGAAAGCACCAAGCAAACCTTCACCTATATGCTTTCAGCTATCAGCAAGCAGTGCCCTGTGGGCTTCCAAAGTTAAAGGCTACCTCATAGATTACCATGTTTAGCAGTCTGAGAAAGCCTGATTCCCCCATTAATTTCCTTCATACCTTTTAAATCCTTTTTTTTTTTTTTTTTTTTTTTGTTCTCTACCACATCCCTTGCCAATAGGATGAGCAAAGGGAGAATTCAAAAAGTGTCTTTTCCTTCTGTCTTCTTTCCTCTCTTCAACTGTAACATGATAAATGGCATGTTTTCTCCAGAAGATAAGGAGCTCAAACACACTGTTGTGTCTTTCATGGCTTGCTCCAGGCAGCTAATGTGCTGTATGAAGACTTTGGGGATGACTCTATAGAAGAAAAATTCTTTCATTTGGGTGTACTACAAGTGCAGGCACATAATAAAGGTGGTTAAGATCAAGGTTTCCAGAGGGAAAGGCTGTTACCTAGGAGACCTGACCTAATATGATGATGTGTAGCTTAGTTACAAATAGAGCTGGACAAATTAAACCCCATCCCTCAAAATACTTCAGTGGAAACTTTTACTTCATGCTCACCAAACTAAGAGTCAGAAATGCACTAGGGGAAATGTTGTCAGGGACAGGATTTTGCAAAGGAGTCCCAAGAGTAGCAACCATCTGATTCTTAAAACTTTGGAAACAAAGAGGAGTTGTTCAAAAAACAACAAAGGTCTCGGAGTACTCCTGGATTTCTGGAAAAATTCCCCTTTTCCAAGGGGAAGGTTGAAACTGTTTTAAGAGCTTGGTTCAGCAGCATTCCTTTTGACAGTAGTGTTGGCCTAAGCATCCCCATCCTCTGCGGTTCCTTCTTGATTCCATCCTGCCTCCCTAGATGTCCTAGTGCTGTCCTTTGTAGGGTCTCATAATGAATAGTTCTGAAGGAAGTGGTCATCATTAAAGCTAATGCTCCTCCCACCCCAGTAGTTTTTGTTTCTTCTTTCTTCATCTGGCTTATCATCCTTTACCAGAAACAATGGAACAAGCTCATCTAAGATGACACTGTGGGTTAGCAATAAAGATCCAGAGGAGAGCTGTCGAAGCTATTTCTGCTGCTGCAAGAAACGTTGACCTCTCTCAAGTCACTAAAGGTATCTAAGCTCTCAGTATAGAGTTGCTTATATCCAGTTTATGTGTAATTTTATCTATATATGTATAACAAACCACTCCCAAGCATCCAGGATTATGGTACTGTACTGAGGTGATGGAGAGCTTTGCTCAGTTCTCTGGTCTGCCACAGATTCAGTTTATGTCCCAGGGTCAATCAAATCTGTGTACGTCACTTCCTCATTTACAAAAGAAATAGAGAAGTTTTCTTCCCATCAAGAAATTGTGAGGTCTTGCAATAGTCTGAAATATGATCACAAGTGCTGTGCAAGAGTCTTAGAGGGATGGGTTTTGTGAAATCTCTGGCAATGATGCAAATCAAAAGAAAAAAGGGTTATTCTGATTTTGAATCTGATCACAACCTGACTCACCTGTGGCTGAACAATCAGGTAAGTTGTCTGGTGACATAGGAAATAGGGTGAAAGAAATTCCTAAAATGGCATCGTGGTCAAGGAAAAGACAAATGAAACCACATCCTTCACCTCTTCAGCAGTGGCCTCAGTTTTTTGTATCTGAGAGAAATGCATAGAAATATACTCAGATGTTCTTTAAACTAATTAAAGTTCTGCAGCCAGAACATTACTCCACCTACAAAACAAACATGATCAACTGCACAGTGTCATATTCATACCAACATCAAGCACAGGATGGGAAGAACACTTAGACATCTTTGAGTCACTATTCCCTTTGCCAACATGACTTTTTTTCCAGGTTTTGAGGGGATTTATTTTTCTTTTTTTTTTTTTTTTTTTTTTTCTTTTATTTATTCACCTTTCTATGGGTATGGCAAAGAAAAATCTAATTGAGTAGGTAAGTATGACTACCCATCCTTTAAGGTTTATTTTTGAGCCTATAGTATTCATTCGCAGTGTAAGTGTTATAGTTTTACTCCTATTTTTAGCAACACCTGGAATGGAGCTAAATCTTCACAAGACAGTTCTCCCATTATCTCCCAATTTTTCAGTAAGAAGCTGAAATTTTTATCTTTCCAGTTTATACTTGAAGACTATTTAAATTGTTCTAGTGGCTTCTTGCTTAACTGCTCCTCTTTTAATAACCCCATATTTGTCACTTCTTTATCAATATTTCCTTAAAAAAGAGGTAAGATCATACTCTTATGATCATTTTCTGTGAGATGTGATACAAAGAACAATTTAGTTTCTCTGTAGTACACTCTTCCTTCTGAACTGCCTCCTATAATCTTTGATAACAAAAATAAAATACATATTCAAGTATACTAATATCCCCACAAGCATCCTTTTTTTCATATGTGAATAACTTATTTTCCCATATTTTAATGTCTTTATATTTGAAATCTTTCTTGACATTCTTTATATCTTTTTATGAAAGAGGTAAGGTACTTGGGACTGATGATCATTGTGATTGCAACCAACTGCATAATAACTCACTGTTTTAAGCATACACAGTGCTTCTATTTAGTTAGTTTGTTAGTTTTTTACTTGCTTATATACTTTTCTTGAGTCAGTTTAGGTAACCTCCATCTCTTGGGCAGGCGCTAGAAACTGTAGGAGTAGTAGTTGCAGAAAAGTATCAGAGAAAAGAAAAGTTGGCTCTGCAATGACTTGTGGTAATCAGAATTGATAACAAGGAAGGACAGGATCTCACCTCTGGGTTTTGAGCCCAAGAGAATTTTTATTTTTATTCAGTAGTTCTTGAATAGAAAATGCATGACCTGCTCTTGACTCTTGGACACAATGAATCAGTTAATTTGTGAAGGAGTGTAAATAACATACTTACTACTGGAAATTAATAAAAAAAATTAAATTGCTTTAACTTTTTAACCTAACTCTGAAGATGCTCTTAAATTGTGGGTTGGAGTTTTTCTCCCCTAAACTTACCCAAGCGCTCTATAGATATGCCCACAGGGGAACCAGTAATCCTACATTGCCTTAATACAGGCTGGAAAGAAACAGCTACTCAAAATAACAGTTTGTTCAACTTGGTCTCAGACAAGATGAATGAAGGCTTCACTGTGTTTATTTCCTGTCACTCACTGAGAAGATATTCCAGGGTGACCAGCCCAGAGGGATGCCTAAGCTTTCCACCTTGGTTAGGTGAATCCAGGAGGATTCATTCCTTTCCCCTCTTACATCATCTGGAAATCACATGTAAGTACTGAACAGAAATGCTGCCACTGTTCTTTTCATACAGAAAACTGAAATCTATTTCTGAAAATGCCTTTTCCTTCTCTTTCTTATATCTGTGTTAGTATTATGTGCTGCTTCTCTTTAGAAAAACAATTGTGGTAGAAGAATAATACTGTTTTCCCCAGTGGTGGTCCAAACTTTCTTTCACATCTCAGATAATTCATGTGCAGATTATTGATCAAAATTTTAAGGAAACATAAAGTGTTTCTATGTGAAGTGGTTTCCTTTCTGCACTGTAATTTTTAAATTTTCTGTGAAAATTGGCTACTGTTAGACAATGTGTTATAGCACAAGCCACTCTCAGTTACCTCTCAAAGCATACTGAATCCTGACACATGTCCAGAGGAGATAGTCGTGTTAGGAATTTGGAATTATCAGCAAGGTTGAAATCCTGCTGCAGTGGCTATTCTTATCCAGATTCACTAGAGAGTTGATTACATGAGAAGAAAAGCTGCCCAAAAACCTGCTGTTTATAAGTAACATATAACCATATAGCTCATCATGTCTTAATATTACTATGATTTTTATAACTAATGAAGGTTTGTAATTGAAAAAAAAATAAATAAAAATAAAATAATAATAAAAAACCCCCACCAAACCCTATGGGGTTTTTTATATCATTACATTTTGTTAAGGGAAATACCTTACCTGTGATGAGTACAGTACTTAAGACTAGACCTCTGAGTTTTATTTCCCAGCTTTGTGTCTGAAGCACTTGGAAATTTATTTTTGTCTGGGGGAATATATGAAATAGAATTACTGCTTACATGTGCATGTGAGGTGTGCTATCAGGGTAAAATTAAACTTACAGTCCTGTGACATTTTCAGAGAACTGTATATATGTGAAATCTACTTCAGTATTAAAATTGTATTAAGAGAAAAGACGCTGACATACTTCCATTCTACTGGTGTCTAAATGTAGTACTCCTAAAAGGGGTTCACTCTGCATAACAATTTTGCTCTATGGGTGTGAAGAGCTAAAATCTGAACATTTTCAGTTCGGCTGTGTTTTCAAGAGAAAGTGACATAGGCACTTTTCAGTGCTGTAATGCAGGTTTTAACAAGCAAAATACTGATATGTGGATGAGGCCCCTTGTACTGGAAACAGCTAATTTAAAAATATTTTTATATAATTATTTTAAGACTGTAATAAAAATATACCATCAAATTTTTGTATAAGACATTCAGCAGACAAAAGTATGCATTTGCAGGTGGTGTCTATTCACACCTCACAGTTACATGAGCAACATTAAAACTAGCACACATAAAAAAAAATGCAGTATTTCTTTGCCTGCGTTATTTGGAGTAAAAGAAAAGAAAACCCAGACAAAGACAAAAGTAAACTTACCTCCTCCTTATTTCCCCGTCGCAGCTACAGTAATGGGGCACAAAAAGAACGGAAGACGTGAATTTGCAATGGTGGCAGTTTGTGAGCTTTGACAATGTGACTTCATTATTAAGTTCTTCTAAATGGCTTGTGTAACAGGGTGTGAAAATCCTGCCTACGTCTTGCCCATTTCCCTTACTCTGTACTTCTGTAACGTAATGAGGAAAAGTGTGGTTACACCCACTGTTTTTCTACAGGGAGGCAAATAAGTCAGAATAGGACACCCTCTTTATCACTTCATTCACATAATTTTCACTCATTTTTGTCATACATTTTTCATATAGGTGATTGTACAGGGCACAGCCTCAGCCAAGTGAATATATGAGTCTACCTTCTGGCTAGGTATAGGTCAGGTACCACTGCTTCAAGCCGCGTCACTGTTTTCTGCTTACTGCTTAGGGTCACCACCCTGCACAGCAGAATAAGCCTAGTGCTCTGGACTTTGCAACAGCTATTCCCAGCTTTGCACTAGCCAGACTCATTTCCCCGAGACGGGTGACAAACCGATGTCACTGGCCCCTACAGCTTTTTCATGGTAACACGTGGACTGGGTGAATCCAACTCACAGACCAGGAAAAGTTTCTTCATGCATGCACGTACCCTGAGTGTACCAGATCAACACCACATCGTTTGTCTGTGTTCGTGCCCTGGTCCCAGGAAGGTGTGCAGTCCCCCTTGCCCTCTGCTTGCAGAGTCTGAGCATCCTCTTTCCAGTTGCATTCGAGAAGGTGAGGACGCACACACGGTGTGGTGGTAACACCGTTGGTGGTGCGCCACCCAGGCACGGACATCCACAACCATCCTTGTTAGGAGGCTCCGAAATGAGTAAGCCCGAGGCTTTTTTTTTGCCACCTTGACTGATTTTGACACTAAAGAGTGTGCCTGGGTCCTGAAAGATGTGTCTTCAGCAAAGCAACTCTCTGTGAACTGAGAAACATAACGCCTGTTTTTTCATGTACCCCATTGTACAGTCTGATTACAGAGTCCTCTGCCTTTCTCACCTTTAAATAATTTGAACAGGAAAATGAAGTTATTAAAGTAGACAACAGCATTTAAATCTGATTAATTATAATGTTCACTGAGTGTACTAGTCTTACTATTCGTATCTGCTATAACTCACTGGAGGACTGGTAAATCAGATCAAATCTGTCCTGCTTCTGTACCCTTTACAGCTACATTTCCACCAGCCTTTGTTCTTGTTGCTCTCTTGGGCAGAGGAGGAGTTGGGGGGGTTTCAGCTTCTTTAACTCTCAATTCCTCAATTATATTCATAGAGTAGACAACAGGATACTAGCATGTTCCTTGCTAAGGCATTTCATTTCAGGACCTGCAGAAGTAAGTCCTTTTGTTCTCTTTCTCACTTTCTGTTGTAGATACTTCTATAAAATTGGAGTGAATTATGGTTTGGGGATAGATTTGTATCAGTAAACCTGAAACCTCATTTTTTATAAGGTTTGTACAACCTGCCCAGCTAGATGACAATAATGCTGTGTAGGTTCAAAGATAAACAGCCAATTCTCATTTGCATCCATAAGTTGCAGAGAAAGAAACAGGTCTTCTGTGGAAAGGATGCAAGTATGTAATCACACTGATGTCAAAGCTTAGCAGTATGGCAGGAATACTAATTGTTGTGTAACGGACACAATCTACAACCCTGTTACTATTATATTTTAGTTTGATAAATGAGAATTTCTCAGAACATTTAACATTGTTAGAAGGAAGAATTATCCAGGAAAACAGCTGTAAATAGTCCAGTGTTTTCTTGGATTTTTTTTGGATTATGTTCTTTAGTCCATTGGTAGGATTTCTGCTTTCCAAAGTGTCGGTTAATTCTATACTCCCTTTTAATGATTTACTGACAAAGCACATTGCCACAGTGTCCTTGAACCTGTTAAGGGCAGATTGCCTAGGGAAAAAAAAAAAAAAAAAAAAAAGAAAAAAAAGTTAAAGAAATTGAAGGATTTAGAGAGATCAGAGCAGAAAACAGTCCAAATCCCATCAGTGGTACATACAAAATCCTAGAAAATTGGGCACTTGATATGCACTCTATATGCCAACTAGGAGGAAAAATATAGGGCCTGATCCAGAACCATTGGCATCAGTAGGTAATCTGTCCTTGAGCACATGAACCTTCAGGTGAAGCCACTCATAAAAACAGCAGAATGGGATCACGCAGAATAAAACTAGGGATGTTTTCTTTGTTAGGAATGACAGAGGAAGAACTTGTCCTCGTATTTGGTTCAGACTTTAGTATTTAATTTAGCTCCAAGATGTGGTAACTGATGAACTTGCACATAAATGGCACTCACTGTGTCTTCCCTGAAAAAATATATGAACTGTTTGCAATTAAAACCCCCAAAATCATGACCTAACCTCAGGGAATAAGTGAGCCTGTCAAAATAGAAACAAGGCGGCTTTCACGATGAGCGTTCAAGGTAGAGGTACCAACTGGCACATTTTTCAGACCAACTGGCAGGTCTTATGGAAAATGAGATTTTCAGCACTCTTTCACTGTTTATGGCGTACAGAAAGGTAACCATCAGGTTATGAAGTGTGCTTTTATGTTATTATGTGCAGGTAGAACAAAAGCTAACTGGTGATCTTGGGACTAGTGTGCATTCACCCGTTGGCCACTGAGGAAATCTCATTACTTATGACATCTTGCAAAGACTAGGGAAAATTCAGCCAAACCAACTCTGCCTCTGTAGCACCTGTGGCAAGATGTTAAGCTGGCACCGGATAAGCTGTAACACCTTGTAAAACAAGTGTTCTCATGACATTCCATCATGCAAGTTACTCTTGCTCGGTTTACTGATGAGATAAAGAAAAAAAACCCAAGCATCAAGTGGTAGTCTGCTGCTGCGAGGCAAAGCACCGATTTATTACCTTTTTCTTTTGTATCAGCATTTCTGCACCCTGAGCGTGTGTGTGGGAAAGGCATGATTTGGCAAGTAAATACCTGGAATGGCTTCCCTCAAAATCTCTGTAAGAATCCAAAGAACACCACCCTTTCTTGTTGGATGCAGCTACATCAGGTATGCGTCATGTTACTGGTGGTTCTCCCACAAGCTGAGGAAAGGCTCAGGATACACTCACCTGAGATTTCCACCTTGACCTCAGCACGCAGGATTGGTTGTGCCTCCCTGGGTTATTTGCTTACTTCATGGAACAACTAGTTTTCAAGTTCTATTTAGGCTTGCAATGAATTTCCAAATGAAATGGTAGAAATCTCTCCTCGGGAAGCTGTCAAGGAGGGAAAAAGTTTTAAAATGTTCTCTTCCAGCACCCATTGATTGTAAAGTTGCCCTGTCTGGGATACTTGCCCCACAATAATGAATGGCAAAAGGGTGAAAGTTCACTGTAAAGCTGCACTTTAAAGGGGCAGTCTGGTTGGCAAAACAGATACAAGGTTTAGGATAGAAACTGAGAGAAATAAAGGAAATGGAGCAAACTGTATAATCAGTAGCTATTCTAATGCAGTCACAGAGGAATGAGACTTGACTTAAATTGTAATTATTTGCCTTTTTCTGATTATCTTCCTGTACAAAAAAACAATCTGTCAAAGCTGATGCTGCTTCTTGCCAAAGTCCCTTCAGCAAGTGAAACACCTCCCTGAAGCAAGTGAGGGGCTGAAGCACACACATGCCAGAGCATGTGGAACAGTAGTGACAATGATCTGAGAAGAGCTATGTTATGTGGCTACTTACAGTTCTTAAAAGAATACTTGCATCAAGCATAGCCATACGAACGCAGCAGGTAAATAGAAGTCCACAATTACCTTAGAAGTTTAATTTGACAAATTGCATTATGATAATGTCCGGGAGGTTGAGAGACCTTGTGAATTATGGGCCAATGCATTTATCTGGTACAATTATTGTCTGCATAAAACAGGAAATGGGAGAGAAGAAAAAATGAGTTGTTCTGATTGCTGCTCTGTAGAGGAATTGAAAGAGTCCTGCTAGAGGATAAAGATAGTGCTGAGACTTCTGTGATTACTCAGCTTCTGTAATTTTTGAAACTGTTCCCTGCAGATTCACAGAACAGAATTATTCTCGCAACTCCAAGTTCCAGTAATGGAGAAGCTAGGTCATGACCTAGCTGTTACAGTGAATTAGGATACAGGAAACTGGGCTAGTATAAAAGCCTTAATTTATTGTAAAATGAATTTCTTTAGCTGTGAAAATTTTTCGTATAGGTTGGAAAAGTTAAAACCTTCAATATTTGTACAGAGTAAACAATACACTATCAATTTCAGTATTGGCAATTTAACTAACTATATGGAATGTGTGACCATGAAAATTGACAAAAGGCCAAAGATCATCCCTGCAGAAGATTTGGGGTACTATATATGCATCCCAGTCTTGTCAGTCAGAGTATCATAATCAGTGTTTGACCTAGACATGGATGTTTTCACCAAATCAGTCATCCTGAAGATAAAGTTCCCCTTAACTGCTGTCCAGTCCGAAGGATGATTTGGTCTGCTTAATGAAAGGGAGGGGAATTACATGCCAGAGTAGTCTAAAATCATCATTTACTAGACCAGCACATTTTACCACAGACTTTTTGGGTCAATCTGTATTCTTCTTAAAACCAGACTAATTGTACAAGCTTTATATGTCTAGCTTTGTAACCTTTAATTAAAAACATAAGAATTCAAACATTTGCATTTAGTCTTCTTCATAGCTTATGCTAAGAAACAACATTGTTGTCATAGTCAAGAAGTTAATAATCAAAAGAGAAGATTTAATTCATTTTTACTTTTGTTTCTCTGGCTTAGTTTATTTTAAATTTACCACCTTTTATGTGAAGTATCAAAAACAGAAGTCATATAATATTAACAACTTGGATATGACGTAGAACTGGTTTTTGCTTTTTTTACCTTTTTTTTTTTTTTAATTTATTTCACCAACAAATATACATGTCTGTGTAGTAGAATTGCCAGAGCCCTAGGCTGAATTCAGGGCCAGTGATGTTTTGTGTAGAACACAAATATTGTCTTCACCTTTTTGCACAACCAAGTTATGCTTCAAATTATACAAGCAGAGTTTACACCCTTCCAAGAAACA